CACCCCTCTTTCTTAATTGAGAGACTCAATTATGAATTTTGTGCTTCCATGAATTTTGGATAAAACTGTGTAGGCTTTTGTTTTTCATGCTTTTTGCTCTTTTTGTTGTTGTTACAGCCGTGGTTCTCAGCAGGTGAATGGGAGGATTATTATGTACCTCAAGTTAACCTTCTATCCTCTCCCCCCCATCAGCAATGACAGTGGCAGAGGTGCATCTGGCATGTAGAAGTTAAGGTGGCAAGAAAGTTGTATAACATTCTACATATACAATTCTGTGGCACTTCCACAGAATTGAACTTTTAGTGCCAAAGTTGAAATGTTCTGGCAATACAATTCCCAAGTTGTGCTTTTGGAGATAATTGAAGATTTATAAAAATCTAGTGACGTTTTTTACTATTAGAAAAATGACATGCTACCCAGGTGCTGGTAGCTCACACCTGTAATCCTAGCTACTCAGGAGGCTGAGATCTGAGGATCTCAGTTCAAAGCTAGTCCAAGCAGGAAAGGCCATGAGACTCTTATCTCCAGTTAACCACCAGGAAACCAGAAGTGGCACTTTGAACTTAAGCCCCATGACAAACAAACAAACAAAAAAAGACGAAGAAGAAAGAAAAATGAAGTGCTTTTCTATGAAAATAGTGTGCAACAGAAAATCCCATGAAACTATTGATTTGAAATTCACTGTGGCCACTTATCTACAATAGTCCTGACACTATTAACTTTTAGAGCTTTAGTGAGCTCTGTCTTATTAATTGATAATGTCTGATTTAGCTATCTAAAAATATTTTTGTTGTAAATTTTTAAATTGTTACTACTGGGAAAGTTTCAAAGTATATAAATACTTGGTGGAGTTTGAAAAAGAGAGTAAAAGACCATTCAGAACATGAAATGTAATAAGACTTCCTAAAGAGTTATTAGCCACAATTCACTCATAATGTAAGTATATGTAGCTATGATTTTCTAATTGTTAGTCAACTTTCTGCTGCTGTGACAAAGTCCCAGAGATAATCAGCTTAATAAGAAAAAAGTTTACTTTTGCTTAGTTTCAGTCTGTTGTCATTTGGCCGTGCCTCTGGTGTCACAGTACACTGTGGCAGAAACACATGGCACTAGAGGCCTGTTGATCTCCTAGCAACCAGAAAGTAAAGGAAAGGACTGGTGAGGTTTCAATAACTTCTTTAAAGGCATGTATCCCAAAGACCTACTTCTTTCCACCAGGCTCTTCTATTTCCCAATAGTACTTTAGACTGGTGATGAACCTTTTACATATAGGCCTTTGAAGTGACATTCATGATCCAAACTATAGCAGTAACTAAGAAAAATATGTGTCATGTTGAAAGTATTCATTCAGTGATAGAAATGCAAAACATTAAAGATAACCTTGTTAGTCACTTTGAAATTGGCATCTTGATGCTCAGAGTATAGTGTAGCTCAGTGGTAGAGTCTGTATTTAGCATGCATGAGACCACTCATCCAATCCTCAGCACCAAAGACCAGAACAAAAACAAAAAATACTCCTAGATAATGTCCAACAATGACTTAGGACAAAGGTGCCTGTCCAGAAAAAGGGCCAGAGAGGTATTATTTCAATATATGGTAGCTAAAATGTGGTTAACTTGCAAGGCAATTTATTTTCTCTTAAATCTCAATTTTATCGAGAAAATTAGAGGGTTCTTTTAGATTATTAGAAGCAGCTGGGGAGCTTGTTAAAAATGTAAATGTAGCCGGGTACTTGTGGTTCATGCCTGTAATCCTAGCTATTCAGGAGACTGAGATCTGAGGGTTATGGTTCAAAGCCAGCCTGGGCAGGAAAGTCTGTGAAACTCTTATCTCTGATAAACCATTCAGAAAACTGGAAGTGGTGTTGTGGCTCTAGTGGTAGAGCGCTTGTCTTGAGCTGAAGAGTTGAGGGAAAGCGCTCAAGCCCAGAGTTCAAGCCCTATGACCAACAAAAACTGAATGAATGAATGAGTGAATGAATGAATGTAGATATAAACTAGACACTGGGCTCAGACCTGTAATCCTAGTTAGGAGGCTGAGATCTAAGAATTACAGTTCAAAGACAATCTAGGCAGGAAAGTCTGTAAGACTCTTAACTCCAATTATGTACCAAAAAGCCAGAAGTGGAGCTGTGGCAAAAATGGCAGAGCACTAGCCTTGAGTTTTAAGCTCAGAGGCCCTTAGTTCAGGCCCTTAGTTCAAGCCCCAGGGTCAGCCCCAAAACAAACAGACATAGTTCAAGATACTTTGGAGGCCAACCAGAAAGATTACAGCTATAGTTGGTCCTAGCAAAAGTGCTAGACTTTCCTGGAAAACAGAAAAGGGCTGAAAGGTAGAACACCAGAGTCCCTGAGTTCAAACCCCAATACTGCAAAAAATAAAAAATAAAACTACTGCTGGGCATTGGTGGCTCATGCCTGTGATTACAGGCTCAGGAGGCTGAGATCTGAGGATCACAGTTCAAAGCCAACCTAGGCAAGAAAGACTCTTATCTCCAATTATCCACCAAAAAAACAGAAATGGCAACTCTGGCTCAAGTGGTAGAGTACTAGCCTTGAGCTGAAGAGCTCAAGGACAATGCCCAGGCTCAGAGTTCAAGCCCCACAACCAAAAAAGAACTGTTAATTTTCAATGTTTCAGGGGCCTATTTAAATTTTTTTAATTTGTTTTTGCATGTGTGTTTGTGCTCAGACCTGGTCTTGAACTCAGGGTCTTCCTGCTCCTTTTTTTTTTTGGCTCACATTTGGTGCCCTACCATTTGAGCCATGCCTCCAAATCCAGTATTTTACTGGTAATTGGAGATAGAGTTGTGCAGACCCTTGTGCCTACATTTGTCTTTTTTTTTTTTTGGTCAGTTGTGGGGTTTGAACTCTGGGCCTGGGCACTGTCCCTGAGCTTTTCAGCTCAAGGCTCTACCACTTGAGCCACAGTGCCACTTTCGGTTTTCTGGTGGTTTATTGGAGATAAGAGTCTCTTGGACTTTGCTGCGCACACTGGCTTCGAACCTCGATCCTCAGATCTCAGCCTCCTGAGTTGATAAGATTACAGGAGTAAGCCACCAGCATCTGCCTACACAGTCTTTTAACCATAATCCTCAGCTCTGTCTCCAGAGTAGCTAGGATTACAAGCATTAGCCACTGACACCCAGCTTATATTTTTCATTATGAAATAACTCATACGTAACACAAAATACAGAATGATTTAGAGGTTTGTTTGGTTTTTGTTTTTTACAGTACTGATCTGTGATTCAATACCAGCATGAATTGTAGCACTTTTCCATAATTACTCTATATAAACTTTTAAAGGAACCCACTGTTGTACTGTTATGGCCTGTTTTGTATGGCTCCAACATGATTTCCTACTCTTGGAGTTAAGCAGTATCATGAAGGTGACGTGGTCCTTCCTTGCTATGCTTTAATTTTTACTGATTGTATGTGCCCATGATCAATATAATGGTTTTGTTTTAAATGTTTCAATTTTTTTTTGGGGGGGGGGTCCGGACTTGGTGTTTAAACTTTGGGCCTGGGCGCTGTTCCTCAGCTCTTCAGCTCAAGGCTAGCTCTCTACCACTTGAGCCACAGCGCCACTTATGGCTTTTTTCTTTTTGCTTACGTGGTGCTGAGGAATCGAACCCAGGGCCTCAGGCATGCAAGGCAAGCGCTCTAGCCCTATGTTTCAAATTATTAAGTAAGTGATATCATATGCATTCTACAACTAGCTTTTTTCATTGTTATATTTTAAAATCTAGGTTGGTATACACATACATATATGGTATTTTTTTAATCTTTTAACTGCTCTTATCTGCCTATCTATATTTCAGTGTAAAATATGACTAAGTTACAGTACTTTTTTTTTTTTTTTTTGGGTAGGGGTTCATTTGGGCTTGAACTCAGGGCTTGGGCACTGTCACTGAGCTTTTTCGGTCAAGGCTATGTCTTTACCACTTTGAGCCACAGCTCCACTTCCGGTTTTATGATGCTTAATTGGAGGTACTCATGGATGGGATGTAGCTCAGTGGAAAAGGCTTGCCTAGCAAGTGCAACATCCTGGGTTCGATCCCCAGTACTCAAAGAAAAGACCAAAAAAAAAATACAGTTAAAAAAAAAACTGCCAGGTGCTGGTGGCTCACGCCTGTAATCCTAGCTACTCAAGAGGCTGAAATCTGAGGATCAAGGTTCAAAGCCAGCCCAGGCAGGAAAGTCCCTGAGACTCTTATCTCTAATAAACCACTAGAAAACTGGAAGTGGTGCTGTGGCTCAAGCGGTAGAGTGTTTGCCTTGAGCTGAAGAGTGCAAGGACAGTGCCCAAGCTCTGAGTTCAAGCCCCACGAATGGAAAAAAAAAAAACAACTAAAAACACCTTTAAAAAGCCAGGTACCAGTGGCTCATGCCTGTAATCCTCGCTACTCAGGAGCCTGAGATCTGAGGAAGACAGTTCAAAGCCTATACCCTGGGGAGGAAAGTCCATGAGACTAACTACTCAGAAAAAGTAGAAAGTGCGATTATGGATCAAATGGTATAGCACTAGCCTTGAGCAAAAGAAACTCAGGGACAGCATCCAGGTCCTAAGTTGAAGCCCCAGGATAGACAAAAGAAAAAAAAAGTATCATGGACTTTCCTGCCTGGGCTGGCTTTGAACCCTCAGATCTCAGCCTCCTTAGTAGCTAGGATTACAGGCATGAGCCACTGGTACCCGGCTTGGATTTTTGTTGTTTGTTTTGTGTCAGTTCTGGGACTTGAACTCAGGGCCTATGCATTGTCCCTGAGCTTTCTTTTGTTTAAAGCTAGCATTCTATCACTTGAGCCACAGCTCCACTTCCAGCTTCTTTGGTAATTTAATGGAGATGAGTCCTACAGACTCAGCTGTCCGGACTGGCTTTGAACAGCTCTCCTCAGATCTTAGCCTCCTGAGTCACTAGGATTACAGGTATGAGCCAGTGGCACTTGGCTATTTTTAAAATGTCAAGTAAAGGATACATTAAAAAATATTTTTATTCCTTTTCTAGAAGAATCAAGAGAATCTCTTTCTGATGAAGAAGATGACAGTGATGATGATGTGGAACCTATTACTGAATTTAGATTTGTGCCTAGTGATAAATCAGCATGTGAGTGTTCTATAATATTGATCTTTTTGCATTTGCATGTAGGCAGTCTTCCTCCCCCCCTCCCCCACACGCACCCTCACTCCTTTATATCCACTTTATTGTTTTCAGGGGACATGGTTTTGGTATGTAATATAGGCTGGCCTAAAATTCCTGATCTTCTTGCCTCAGCCTCCAGTGATACATGTTCTACCACACCTGGCTGTCTACTTTTCTTTATTTTATTATCTGTAATTTCATTGAGGATCAAGTACATATTAATATGAAAGGTAGTGAGAGGATTGATATCTGGTATGTTACCAATCTGTTACCTGGTATATTCTGTAAGTGGAGGACTCTGCTTCCTTTTATTGAGTTTATATTGTTGACTGAATCTCACCTATCAGGGGGGACAGGAGTCAATAACAATTCCAAAGCCGAAGATGCTAGAATCATTGGAAAGTGACTTGTCAGCTGAGAAGAGCTTGTCCTGATTCATCAGGCCATGGACTGACTCTTTTTCTTAGACAATCCAGCAGCCATGAAGAGATCTCAGTGAAACCTTGACTTCTTGGTTTGGGACTGTCCATTGTCTTGGCACTTTCAGGGTCAGTCATACTTGGAGTTTGATAGGTTTTATAAATATTGGCATCGTTGTATACCTCTTGAGCCTAGTCTATTTATATCCATGTTTTTATTACAAAATGTTAATTACAATCTGAAAGACATATTAGTAACAACTTAATGTCTTTATTCAGTGGAGGCAATGTTCACTGCAATGTGTGAATGTCAGGCCCTACATCCAGATCCTGAGGATGAGGATTCAGATGATTATGATGGAGAAGAATATGATGTGGAAGCACACGGTCAGTGAAATGTATTTTAGTATTTGTTTTACTATTTCATGTTAAGCTCTTATTTTTGCTGGAGGCAGAGGATTATAGTTCTTTGTTCTACATGAGGTATCCAGTATAAAGTGGTTGTAAATAAAAGTGAACCTATAGAGTGGCACACTTTGTGTGTAGGTCCTTCTGGAGTAGGCAGTACTAAGGTTTAAACTGGGATCTTGAACTTGCTGTTGAACCACAACCCAAGCCCTTTTTGCTTTCATTATTTTTCAAATAGGGTTTCACATTTTATGCTCAGGCCAGCTTGGACTGCCATCCTATTCTGTATAGTTGGGATGGCAGGCTTGTAATACCACACCCAACTTCTGCGAACAGCAGAGTTGGAGTCTCAAAATCTTTTTGCCTAGTCTGGCTTTGAACCATGATCTTCCTGGTCTCTACTTCCTGAGTAGCTAAGATTACAGCCATGAACCACCAGGCCCAGCAGTGTGTCTTGGTCCTTTGAACAGAAAAATTGGGATGATTTATGGCCTTCCCAAGCTTGAAGGTAAAATTTGGAAAATTTTTGCTAGAAAGAAAATGGATAAATAGAGACAAATGAAGTGAAAGAAAAGTAGTAGCTAGAAAATGAACAGTCAGAAAAGCCTTTTAGCTGGGTGCTGGTGGCTCATGCCTGTAATCCTAGCTACTCAGGAGGCTGAGATCTGAGTATCACAGTTCAAAGCCAGCTGGGGCAGAAAAGTCCTTGAGACTCCTATCTCCAATAAACTACTCGGAAAAAATTGGAAGTGATGCGGTGCCTCAGGTGGTAGAACACTAGCCTTGAGCACAAAGAGCCTTGGGGGCAGTGCCCAGGCCCTGAGTTGAAGCCCCACAACTGACAAAAGAGAAAAGAACAGCCTTTTAGACTAAAGTAGCTGCCCCCAGAAAACAGCCTTTCTACCATTTGAGAAGCTAGCTTGTTTCTGTCTTTATTTAACAAATTTCTTGAAATGGCTCAATGCCAGGATCATTTTTCCCCCCCACAATACATTTCACTGCCTTTTCAGACCAAAATACATTCACTGGTAAGGTGCTGTTACTCAGCTTTTCTGTTTATACCACTTGAGCCATGTTTCCAGACTAGCATTTTGCTAGCTAATTGGAATTAAGAGTCTCATGGGCTTTTCTACTTGGACTGGCTTCAACTCTCAATCCTGTAGGTCTCCACTTCCTGAGCACTTAGGATAGGTGTGAGCCACTGGATGCCTGCCCAGTCTCATAGCTTAAGGAAGGTGTTACTCTTTTTCTTTTCTTTTTCTTCTGTTGGTCGTGGGGCCTGAACTCTGGGCCTGGGTGCTGTCCCTCAGCTCTTCAGCTCAAGGCTAGCGCTCTTCCATTTGAGCCACAGCGCCACTTTTGGCTTTTTTCTTTTTGCTTATGGGGTGCTGAGGAATCGAACCCAGGGCCTCATGCATGCAAGGCAAGCACTCTACCGCTGAGCCACCTTCCCAGCCCCCGCTCTACTCTTTTTCTTATCCCCACTGGTCTTACAAACACTTGCCTGAATATCCAAAGCTCTTTCCTGCATAAGTGCCTGGTCTGAGACATCCTCATTTCTGGGATTCTCCTTTATATAACTTATTTAATTTTTTGTGTTTTCTGGAATTTCAGATTTTTTTTTTTTTTTTGCCAGTCCTGGGGCTTGAACTGTGAGCCTGGGCACTGTCCCTGATCTTCTTTTTTGCTCAAGGCTAGCACTCCATCAGTCAAGCCACAGTGCCACATCTGGCTTTTAGTTGGGAGCTGGTGGCACATCTGGTACTGAGGAATTGAACCCAGGGCTTCATGCATGCTAGGCAAGCACTCTACCACTAAGCCACATTCCCAGCCTGAATTTCAGATTTTTTTAATGAAAGGATCATATATGTTAATGAGATAAAAACTTGAGGATTTTTTTGGGGGGGGGGTCCGGTTGTGGGGCCTGAACTCTGGGCCCGGGTGCTGACCCTCAGCTCTTCAGCTCAAGGCTAGAGCTCTACCACTTGAGCCACAGCGCCACTTCTGGCTTTTTTCTTTTTGCTTATGTGGTGCTGAGGAATCGAACCCAGGGCCTCAAGCATGCAAGGCAAGCGCTCTACCACTGAGCCACCTTCCCAGCCCATGAGATAAAAACTTGAATATCAAGTTAATTTTTGTTGATGTTGGTCGTGGGACTTGAACTCTGGGCCTGAGCACTGTCCCTGAGCTCTTCAGCTCAAGGCGACTATTCTACCACTTGAGTCATAGCACCACTTCTGATTAATTTGACATAAGAGTCTCATGGACTTTCCTGCGTGGGCTGGCTTTGAACCGCAATCCTCAGCTTTTAGCCTCTTGAGTAGCTAGGATTACAGGTGTGAGCCATCAGCGTCTAGCTTCAAATTAATTTTTAGTCAACTTGTAAAATTACTACCTTGAGATTATACAGGAATCCCTTAGTTTAGGAGCACCTTCTTTTCCATCAAGCTTCTAAACAGGTCATTTCTCTGGGAATTACTGTTATTATCTCTCAGAATCCCTTCTCTATCCTGAAGGGTAGGGATGTTTTCTTTGTATCTCTTCAGCAGTATCTTTGACAATAAACATTGGCAACAGTTCCTGGAAACCTCTTAGAACTGCACCTTGTAAGTGCATTGTTGATTATCCATTTTCTTTTTTCTTTGTCAGTCCTAGGTCTTGAACTCTAGGCCTGAACGCTGTCTCTGAGCTCTTCAGCTCAAAGTGAGCACTCTACCACTTGAACCACAGCTCTACTTCCAGTTTCCTGGTTGTTTATTGGAGATAAGAGTTTCATGGACTTTCCTGCTTGGGCTGACTTTGAACTGTGGTGCTCAGATCTCAGCCTCCTGAGTAGCTAGGATTATAGGCATGAGCCACCAACGCCCAGCCCATTTTATTTTTTTCTAATTGTTGTATCATAGCTTAAAAGTTTTCTATTTTATTTAGAACAAGGACAGGGGGATATCCCTACATTTTATACCTATGAAGAAGGATTATCCCATTTAACAGCAGAAGGGCAAGCCACACTGGAGAGATTAGAAGGAATGCTCTCTCAATCTGTGAGTAGTCAGTATAACATGGCTGGAGTCCGGACAGAAGATTCAATAAGAGATTATGAAGGTGAGTGTCCTTTTTCTTCAGTGTGAACAAATGACTACCTGAGCAAAGAGGGAAATTACAGAGAAATGTGGGTTCTTTTGGAAACTGTAAGACAAAGAATTCTCAAAAGTAACTATAATATGAAAAGCAAATCTAGACTTTTTTTTTGTTGTTTTTAGTCCCCTATCCCCCACCCCACCCCCAAATACACCACCAGCTATAAAGTAATCCATGTTTTGGTCAAATTTTCTTTTTTTCTTTAAATTTGGTTCTAGCTTTGATTTTTGGTGTTTTGTGTCCTTGTGCTGTTCCTAAGCTTTTGTGCTCAAAGCTAGCATTCTACTACTTGATTCTTAGCTCTACTTTTGGCTTTTTTGGTGCTTAATAGGAGATAAGAGTCTCGTGGACTTTCCTGCCTGTTCTGGCTTCAAACCACAATCCTGAGATAGGATTAGCCTATGATTACAGGTATGAGCCACTAATGCCTGGCTATCATACTTACTTAAAGGGTTATACAGCTCCAACAACCCTGAGTTCAGGCAGGTTTCAGTGGTGTATACTACTTAGAAGGCTGAGGGAGAATTTCTTAAGCCCACAAATTGTCCAACTTTTTATTGGTTGAGGCACGGTATTTCAAGTTTTTTACCTAGGCTGGCCTCAAAATGAAATTTTACTGATTTCTGCCTCCCTTGTAGCTACAATTATAGGCATGAGCACCATGCCTGGCTTACTGGTTCCATTCTGAATCCCTTCATGTTTCATATAGAACCTTGAAGTATTCTTCTTTTGACCCAATCTTTCACCATTAATTACCTTTTTCAGTTTAATAACTTCATGGATTTTTTTTTTTTTGGGCCAGTCCTGGGGCTTGAAGTTGGAGCCTGAGCACTGTTCTTGAGCTTCTTTTGTTCAAGACTAAGCACTCTACCACTTGAGTCATAGTGCTACTTCCAGCTTTTTCTATTTATGTGGCATTGAGGAATCGAACCCAGGGCTTCATGCATTCTAGGCAAGCACTCTACCACTAAACCACATTCCCAGCCCCATTCCATGGATTTTTTTTTCCCTTCATGTCTTCTTGCTAAGACTTGAGCCATGCTCTAAGCCTAAGCCCTTTTTCCTATGCATTGATCCATTCTTGAGTTTTTGTGTTGATATTAGGGGCTCGAACTCATGGCTTTGAGCTCTCTTACTTGGCTTTTTGCTCAAGGCTCTACTACTTGAACCATACGACTTTTCCATACATTGTATGCGTACACACACACACTAATCCTGTAGACTGAACTCCGTGACTGGGGTGCTGTTCCTGAGCTTTTGTGCTCAAAGCTGATGCTCTACCACTTAAACCACAGTTCCGCTTCTGACTTCCTTTTTGGTACTTAAATCTCCAGTCCTCAGATCTCAACCTTCTGAGTAGCTAGAATCACAGGTGTGAGCCACCACCTTGCCTTTTTTTTTTTTTTAAAGACTCACACTGTTGTCTAGGGCTGGCCTTAGACAATTCTTCTACTTCCTACATATCTGGGATGACAGGCATGTATAACCATACAGGGTCTACATCATTCTTACTGCCTTTTAAACACTCATTGTCTACCAGTAGCATTTCAGTGTTCCTATGTATTCATTTATATAAGAAGTATTTAATAAGCTGCTGTGTCTGGTATACTGAGTACTGTAGTCTTTGGAAAGATTTCTGTCAAGCATTCTACTAGAGAGAATAATAATTGACAGTATGTGGCAATGTAGCCATGAAATACAGGAGATGCTTAGGAAGCTGTGGGGCCTTGGAGGCAGGGCCCCTCACCCAGTAGGGATAATCAAGCCTCTTAATGTAAGTGGTATCTAAACCAAGACTGGAAAACAAAGAGAAGTAAATCCAAGGACTTACATACAATTGGAGAGAGAGGGACAGGCAAAGAGATGAGCCATGTGCAAAAGATCTAGAGACCATTCACCTTTGGCTAATTATAGTTCATTGTGTCAGTAACTTTTCTGTGTGAAGGATGAATATTATAACAACAGAATGGTGGAGAAGTAGAATGGCCTTGTGTTAGAGGAACTTGAAAGACTCATTAAAGAATTTGAACATTACCCATAATTCAGTGGTTAACAACTGAAAAATGATTACATTTGGTATGATAATTATGCAAAATAGATTGGGGAGGAAAAATACTGAAAGAATGAAGAGAAGCTCTGTTTTGTGACTTTTATATTAGATTACAGATGGAAGCCCAAATTTTACTAGAGGGCGTGAATACAAAGGATTTGACTGAAAAAGATTTAGGAGACAGAAACAGAAGTTAGGGATGTAACAGGATTTTCTGGCTTCAGCAAGACTGGAAAGAGAAGCATTTTTATGTGGAAAGATGATTAGTTAATTGTAGACATATTACATTTGCATGTTCAGATGCTGGGATGCCAAGGGGCCCAAAGGTTGAGAGCTGAGGGGCAGTAAAGTAGAGAAAGCGGAGCGCTGGTGGCTCACGCCTGTAATCCTAGCTACTCAGGAGGCTGAGATCTGAGGATCATGGTTCAAAGCCAACCCGGGCAGGAAAGACTGTGAGACTCCTATCTCCAATAAACCACCAGAAAACCGGAAGTGGCGCTGTAGCTCAAGTGGTAGAGCACTCGCCTTGAGCTGAAGAGCTGAGAGACAGCGCCCAGGCCCAGAGCCCCACGACCGACAAAAAAAAAAAGTAGAGAAAGCAGTTGCAGAAGACTTTGCAAAGGGCTTTTCTTCTCCTCAACCCCTCTCTGCTTTCTTTTTAGTAAGATAAAGAAAACAAATAAGCAAAAAGTTTGTTTTGCTGGGTTTGTCTTCTCTCCTAAATTGTGTTCTCTCCTAAATTGTGTTATAGGCTTTGTAATCCAACTATATACCTTTAAAAAATGATCTCTAACAGTAAACATTGAACACAGACATGTGAAGAGTATATAGCTACTAGTAATATTACACTTGAATGTTCCCACCAGCATTAGGAGGCATAGACAGGAAAATCATTAGGTTGAAGCCATTCTAAATTGTGTAGAAGAATGTCTCAGAAGCAAGAAAGGAAAAAAGAAAGCTACTGTAGACTTAGAGTTTTATTAGTTTTGAGGTTGAAAATTTAACAAAGTAAACTTAGATATATAGACCTATTTCTTGTGTATGTGCTGGTCCTGGGGCTTGAACTCTGGGCCTAGGAGCTGTCCCTGTACTTTTAAGCTCAAGACTAGCACTCTACCACTTGAGCCACGATGCTGCGTCTGGCTTTTTCTATTTATGTGGTACTGAGGAATCAACCCAGGGCTTCATGTATAATAGACAGGCACTGTACCACTAAGCCATGCTCCTAGTCCTTTAGACTAATTTTAACTTGCCCTAAATCTAGAAAGCAGCGCAACTTTATATACCTGGACAATTTAAAAATAAAATGAAAAAGCAGATCCTACCAGCAGAGGGCACTAGCCTCTTTCTGATTGAATCTTGTCCTATGGTTCAGCAATTCATTTATTTGTACAGATGGCATGGAGGTGGATACTACACCAACAGTTGCTGGACAATTTGAGGATGCAGATGTTGATCACTGAAAGGGCTTTAATTTGCTTTAAGGTGAGTAGTTTCTGGAACTTAAAAATCAAGAAATTCTTTGTTGTGTTTTTTTTGCAGTATTGGGAATTAAACTTAGCCTCATGCCTATTAGGCAGGTACTCTATCCCTTGAGCCACACTCCAACCTTTTTTTATTTGTTTATTTTATTGTTATTAATGGTTACTGTTGCATAAGTCAGGTAATGAGTCCAGTGCTTCTTTTTTTGGGGGGGCGGTTGTGGGACCTGAACTCTGGGCCTGGGCACTATCCCGCAGTGGTAGAGCGCTAGCCTTGAGCTGAAGAGCTGAGGGACAGCACCCAGGCCCAGAGGTCAGGCCCCAGGACCGGTCCCCAAAAAAAATTTTTTTTTAAAAACACCAAAATGTACATATCCAAAAATGCACATACCCAAAATCCTAGCTGTGTGGAAGGCTTCGGTAAGAGGCTAATGGTTTCTTGCTGGTCAAAAAGCATAAGAATCTATTTGAAAAATGACCAAAGCCAAAAGGGCTATGGCAACATGGCTCAAGTGATAGAGTGTTGGCCTACTAGTCTGGAGACCCTGAGTTCAAATCCCAGTAATACACACAAACAAAGAAGTGAGAACTCTACAAGGTTATCAGTTTGGAAAAAGGTTCCTCATCTTTGAAGTAATGGAAAATTATATAGCTTTTTCCCTACGAAATCTCAGGATCTGCTGTATACCTACCACATGCCAAGTACTGCCAGGCATGATAATTGAGAAGCTGACATGGGGATCATGAGTTCAGAGCCAAGTCTGGGCTTACATAATAGGAAAAAAGAAGAGAAAGAAAGAAACATATGAGCTGTAGCTGTTGGTGTTAACCATTTGTTCAGAAAGACTTCCTTTTCGACTTACATTGGAGTAGTCGAGTATAAGATAATGGCTTCATGTCCATTTGATTCACCTTTCCTCACCTATAGAACCCATAATGTATTCACAATCCCTGCAGCTCACTACTTTTCAATTTAGGAAGGAAATAGAAGATAATTCCAAATTGAATTTTAAGCCATTAATCATAATTTTGTGTTGGTTTCTGACCTCCTGTAAACAGTGGGAGACCAAGGTTCTGGTACCATTGTGTTTCAAGGCTGAAATAACTACATTTGTTAATCATAACAAGTCCATGTACAATCATCCAAAGGCCACCATTTTCCATGTTGTTTGTTTCTTGCCTGGTTTTCATTCATGGCTGATAGGCAGATGCTCTGCCAATTTTATCTCCTGAGCATTCTGGACTTTGCCTAAAGTTTATCTGTATTTACCATTTTGTTATTGTGAGAAATACATTGTCTTTTCTCAGCCTAAGTCTTTAAACTATATGATAATAATGAAAGATCATAAAGTTATTTTATGTCATGCAGAGTGTCTACAGTAGTCCTGCCTTTAAGTTGTTACTTATCTTTCATGTCCTCTTGCCTATCTTTCCAGCTTTTAGCCATTGCTCTCTAACTTGGCAAGAGTTATGTACCTTGCTTAACTCTGCTACTACCATCAGTCATCCAGTTAGGTTAAGTGCCCTCACTCTCCCCTGTTGTGGCTAACATGCGCAAAGCCCTGAGTTCCAACCTCAGGCCACCAAACAAATTTCTTTGTTCTGGTTTAAATTTTAGTTCAACAGGGTTGTTGTTTTTTTTTTACAAGTTAAAAGTTTTAAATTCTTCCTGGGTACCAGGCGCTCATACCTATAATCCTAGCTACTCAGGAGGCTGAGATCTGAGGATTGTGGTTGGAAGTCTGTCTGGGTAAACAAATCCAAGAGACATTTTTTTTTTTTTTTTGGGTCCAGTCCTGGGGCCTGAACTCTGGGCCTGGGCACTGTCCCTCAGCTCTTCAGCTCAAGGCTAGTGCTCTACCACTTGAGCCACAGCGCCACTTCTGGCTTTTTTCTTTTTGCTTATGTGGTGCTGAGGAATCGAACCCAGGGCCTCTGGCATGCAAGGCAAGCGCTCTACCACTGAGCCACCTTCCCAGCCCACCAAGAGACATTTTTAACTAGCATAAGGCCCAAAGTGGAGGCATGACTAAGATGGTAGAGTTCCGACTGTGAGAAAACACTAAATGTGCAAGGCTCTGAGTTCAAGACTCAGTAACACACACACACGCGCGCACGCGCGTTTAAATCCTATATCCCTGTTCCATTTTATATCACTGGTCTTTAAATTATAAACCTTCCAAAATAGTGCCATTGAGCATAGCATATAACATTACTTCTTCTACCAGCCATGAGTTGTGATCTCTGCTTTCTTCTCAGGTCCTACTAGTAGAACTGTCTGAAAACAACTTCCTAGCCGGCTGGGAAAGTGGCTCAGTAATAGAGCGCTTGCCTTGCATGCATGAGGCCCTTAGCACCACATAAACAAACAAACAAAAAAGCCGGAAGTGGCGCTGTGGCTCAAGTGGTAGAGCCTAGCCTTGAACTGAACTGAGGGACAGCGCCCAGGTCCAGAATTCAGGCCCCACGACTGGACCCCCCCAAAAAACAAAACAAAACAAAAAAAAACAACCTCCTAGAGGTCTATGAATTATATCTTTTCCCATAAATTCTGAATTATTATTTCCATTTTTACTTCTGTCACTGTAGCCATGTGGTCTTAAAACTAGCAGTCTCCTCTGCTGAAATGATATCCTCTTATGAGTACTCTGTAACTAAAATTCTCAGCTCTCACAGTTTTATGTTTAAAAGTTCACTTTTTTTACTCATGGGAAACTTTATGAAACTAACTTATTTCTCATCACATTTCATAGCATGTTGATTTTTCAGTTTAATTATAGTTGTTAGTAACTTTTGTTGAAACTGGAAGACACATTTTTGGATCATGGGACTTTCACATTTGTCTCCTTGAAGAATAGACTGTTCAGAGGACATCAGCCACTCTGTGGCTAATGACCATGAGAAACTCATTTGCCAAGTCACTAAGGGTTACACAAGTGGGATGCTACTGTACTTCCTGGCAAGGATTCTTAGGATTCTTTGTAATAGTGAAGTAACCATAAAATAGCCACAAATATCCTAATGAGTTAATACTTTATTTGTTCATTTCATGGTTTCTGTTTAGAGAAATATTTTATAAAGCTCATTGTTCGTGTTCTTCTATACAATAGACCTGACTCCAAACTATGTCTGTAAACTTTTAATCATTTAAAATTGTATGCCCTTTTGAAAAATGAACTAAGGAATAATTAGAGTGTTTATGCAACCATCACTAATATCTAGATAATTGGAACTCTTCTATGGCAAGGGAAGGCACACAAAGAGGGCCTGTCAAATACTGCTTTATGCCTTTATGCAAGGTTTATAACTTATCTTCAGTTTTATCATCTGTAAAGTGAGGATGATAACTACCTGGGAAAAGTTGTTGCAAGGACTGAGTTATAATATACTTAAGTTCCCTGGCACTCTTGATAAGACTTTCAGTAAATAATTGGTATTGTTGTTATAAATGCTGTAAAACTTTTGTTTTTCAGATTCTGCTTGGGACTGTAGGAGGAAAGTTGGTGCCTCTTCCACTGTGGAATGGGGCTGATGAAAGGCTTTTTTTCCTTCAAAACTCACTTGAACCAGTTCTTTCTTAAGACAACTATGAGGCAGCAGGTTGTCACCAGCAGAAGAAACTATGACCTTTATTAACAAAGGTGAATTAACTTAACCAAGGGGGTGTTTGTAGTTTATCACTTGCCCTTCAGTGTTTGTTGTTGTCTGAGTAGGCCACTCCTTCCTGCCTTTGATGCACTTCTCTGACCAATAGCAGGTCTCGGGTGAAACACACAGGAGCTTGGGGTATGGGTTGACCAGAGTGGGGTTTGCAAGAGAGAGTCGGAAGCTGAAACGCCTTTGTAAGGAAACCTTTTCCCTTAAGAGACAAAGCCAAGATCACAGAGAAATTAGCCTCTGTTGTGTTCCACATGGACATGACTCTATAATTTCGAGCCCAGATGAATGAATTCAGGCCTTGCTGGCAACTCTGGAAAACCCCAACTGAATCCCACCACTGATGCAGTGGGTAGCTTCTGCCCTGCTTTACCATCTTCTCTGGTCTCTTAAGTTATAGCCTTGAATTTCCACTCTCTTAGGTTCTATAACAGATCAAAAGAACTGCGATGAAGTCCTCAGAGTCCTTCCCATGATAATTGTTTTGTCTTTGTAATAGCTTAACAAATAAATCTAGATTTTCTATATTACTGTGCTTCCTGAGTTTTGTTTTGTTTTTTGTTTTTAATGGTTCTGGGGCTTGAACTCAGGGCATGATGCTGTTCCTGAACTTTTTAGCCCAAGACTAGTTCTCTACCACTTGAGCCACAGCTCCACTTCCAGCTTTTTTGTTGCTGGTGGTGCCAATCTTTGTGCTCTACCACTTGAGCCATAGCTTCACTTCTGGCTTTTTGGTGGTTAATTGGAGATAAGAGGCTCATGCACTTTCCTGCCCAGGCTGGCTTTGAACCAGGATCTTCAGATCTTATCTCCTAAATAGCTAGAATTACATGTGAGCCATTGTCTCCCAGCTAATTGTTAATGAAATTTAAAGGGAAAAGGCAGTGCTGGAAAAAGATGAGGAAACTGAGTTACAGAGAGAGGCGACTTGCTTGAGGTTTTTCTTTTTTTTTTTTTTTTTAATTTTTTTTTTTGGGTGCAGTCGTGGGGCCTGAACTCTGGGCCTGGGCGCTGTCCCTAAGCTCTTCAGCTCAAGGCTAGCACTCTACAACTTAAGCCACAGCACCACTTTCTTTTTGCGTATGTGGTGCTAAGGAATTGAACCCAGGGCCTCAGGCATGCAAGGCAAGTGCTCTACCACTGAGCCACCTTCCCAGCCCCTTGCTTGAGGTTTCATTGATATTACTTAGTGGTTTTGAGCCTGTGCTCCAAAACACCGTACGTACAGTATCAACTACTTTCTGGCTGAAAGGAAGCAAATTTTTGGCTGCAGGGATTTTAATGTTAACATTTCATTCAACAGTACAAGAGGCACCAGCATTCAAAATTTTATCCTAGGAAATTACAATTTTTCAATAAAGGATTGGGATTTTCTTCTTCTTTTTTTTTTTTTTGCCAGTCCTGAGGCTTGAACTCAGGGCCTGGGCACTGTCCCTGAGCTGCTTTTGTTCAAAGCTAACACTGTATGAGCAACAGCACGACTTCCAGATTTTTCTGTTTATGTGGTACTAAGGAATCGAACCCAGGGCTTCATGCATGCTAGGCAAGCACTCTACCACTAAGCCACATTCTCAGCCCAGGGTCATGATTTTCTGATGGGCTGATTTTAGATATTCCATTTGAGAGGTTGTCTAGATAAATGGATAATTTGTGACTTGGTGAAGCAAGAAATACTGTACATAGTGTCTTACTGTTTTGTTCAGGTTAGTATGGTACCTACTGTGTCTGTTCCCCCTACTTATTCCTCCATATTGATGGGATTACAGGTGCACATTACCATGCTAGGTTTAAGATGAAAGTTTCACTAATGTTTGTTTTTTTCGCCCACGTTGGCCTGGAACTGTGATCTTAATTTCCATCACTGACCTGTCTCACTGACAAAGTTCTAATTGTAACCTGTAGCTGAGTTACATCAATAGCTTTGAGAAGAAAGATGAGAGTAGTAAAGATATAATTCATAATTATCAGCAGGCCAACATTTATTAATTCTATTTGAGCTTAATTTTAGTGTTGCTGGAATTTTTGCTTGTGTGTTTTTTGATGTAGCGAAACTTTAAAAAGCATAGACATTTTGTCCTTCCTGCAAATGTGAGCCATCTGTAGTATTCTTACACCAGGTACTGGTGGTCATGCCTAATAATCCTAGCTATTCAGGAGGCTGAGATCTGAGGATCTTGGTTCAAAACTAGCCTTGGCAGGAAAGTCATGAGCCTCTTAGCTCCAACTAACCACCAAAAAGCTTGTAGTGGAGTTGTGGTTCAAGTGGTGTATCACCAGCTTTGAGTGAAAAGGGACAGTGCCCATGCCCTGAATTCAAATCCCAGTACTGACATAAATCCATAAAGAGGTTAGTGGTTGTTCTAGGTTCTGTTAATGAAAATAGGATCCCCTTGGATTTCCCTTCTTCCTCAGATCAGCTTGTCAGATGTCTGTACTATTCAAAAGCTTGTTTTGAGGTTCCGTTAGGCTGTTCTTTGGTATTAGTAAATATGAGAGATTATGCAGATGATCATAATATATAACCCTTTGTTAGACGGCAGGTGTGACTAGTGGTTGTTCATGTACAATTTGGAATTTGACTTAGGATTCCAATAGGTTTATTACTATATAGGTAATTCTCATACAAAATTTATTTTTACAGTATTTCTAGAATGTGTGAATCCATATCTTGCAACCATCTTCTGCAACCAATGTATAGTAATTAAGTTGCCAGAATCATTGCCATCCCTAATGAAGGAGCTGGGACATCTTTACCTTACTGTCTTATTCTGTTTTATATATACATAAGTAAAAGCAATAACTAATTTGGAGGACTTTTAATCCTAAATGAGAAGTAGAAAATACTCTGAGAAGAGTGAATGTGATCAGAATTTTTTATTTTTAAATTCCTGAAGATAGGGAAACTTGGCATGATGATATGCATGATGAAATCCCAACACTTGGGAAACTGAGGCAAGAAGATTGGGAGTTTGAGGCCTCAAACTGGTGACTCATACCTGTAATCCTAGCTTCTTGGGAGGCTGAGATCTGAGAATCATGGTTCAAAGCCAGTCCAGGCATGAAAGTCTGTGAGAATCTTACCTCCAGTTAACCACAAAAAGCTGGAAGTGTCGCCGTGGCTCAAGTGATGGAATGCTAGCCTTGAGCAAAAGAAGCTCAGGAATAGTGTCCAGTCCATTAGTTCAAGCCCCATGACCAAGAAAAAAACAAAGGGGCTGGAGAGGTGGCTCAATGGTAGAGCACTTGCCTTGTATGCCTGAGGCCCTGGGTTCGACTCCTCAGCACCATATAAGCAAAAAGAAAAAAAGCGGGAAGTGGTGCTGTGGCTCAAGTGGAAGAGCGCTAGCCTTGAGCTGAAGAGCTGAGAGACAGCGCCCAGGCCCAGAGTTCAGACCCCACGACCGACCGGACCCAAGAAAAAAAAACAAAACTTTATTCAGCTTTTAAAATAAAAATAAACTGCAATTTATTTTCCTAAGGACTGTAAGTCTTCACCACAAGCCTCTACTTTACATGATAAAAAAATCAATTGCACTAGAGTGTCTAGATTCTAGGCATACAGTAGTGAGTAAAGGAGGGATGAGAGTCAGGCAGGCCTATCAATAATAGTTGTAGATAGCTAATAACATGTAAAGATGCATTCACTGCTCTCTTCCCTTCCATTCCCCTTGAGTAGGCTAGGCCTATGTAGCATATAGTGCTCATAGTGATGGTATGGGGAATGTACATACTGGAGCACTTTTCATAAACATATAGCTTTGTGTCTGTCCAAATTCTGGATTGGGAATTAATCAAAACTGGCTAGCTGAAGAGGTAACAGTCATTAGAGAACTGGGGATGTAGCTTACTGGTGGAGCACTTAACCCAGCATGGATAAGGCCCTGGATTGGAATATGGCATTGCCCCCTCCCCCCAAAAATCGTTAAGTTATATACCAGGCTCAGAGAATAAGTTAAAGGACTGGGAGTTGTTACACAGATGTTAGAATTCCCATGCTGCTGTTAGACTGATTTTTTTTTTTTACTGTCTCCATGTCTTTTATCAAACTTGGAATTCAAAGCTCTGCTTGGCACTCTGTGCCTTAGTTATAGAGACAGGATATCTATCCCTTCTATCCCTACTTCTATAGTGGAAAGGCATTGCCTCATCCAGATTCTGTAAAGTGATGTAAAGAATACTTGGATGATGTCTTTAAAAAAATGCAGTTATCTGATACTGCAACTTCAAATGTTTAAGGCTGAGTGTTTTGTTGCATGAGTACAGTAAGCAGACAGTTGCATTTAATAAAGGTGTGGTAGCCAGGAACCGGTGGCTCACGCCTGTAATCCTAGCTACTCAGGAGGCCTGAGATCTGAGGATCATGGTTCAAAGCCAGCAGAAAAGTAGTCCACAAGACTCTTATCTCCAATAAACTACCAGAAAACGGGAAGTGGCGCTGTGACTCTGGTGGTAGAGTGCTCCACTTGAGCTGAAGAGCTCAGGGACAACACCCAGGAGGAGAGTTCAAGCCCCATGACTGACCCTGCCCCCTTCAAAAAAAAAAAAAAAAAGTAAGTTCCATGAGTATGCTGAAGAGATGGAGGAGAGAGTTGGGGTGGAAGCAGGCAGGTCTGTGCCAATGACTGGCCAAGTAAAATGAGGTGCTTAGGAAGAAGAAAGTACTTGGGAGGAGTGAAAATGTGGACCTCTGCAGTGGACAAGATAGCCTGTGGATCAGAGGATCATTGAAGATAGAGAACAAGGGAAGAGGAAGCTGAAGAGAAAAAAGAGTTTAAAGAGTAATGAGTTTGAGCTCATACTGATTATTGGTAGTAATAGGCTCATAGCTAAATTTTAGTTCAGGCAGGATAGAAAAAATTACCATCTGGATGTGATAGTACATTGCTAATCACTTGAAAGATTCAAGGCCAGCCACAGCAAAAGTTAGCAAGACCGTGTCTAAAAGAAAATGTGGCCAGGTGCCAGTGACTTACACTTATAATTCCACCAACTTAGGAAGCTGAAATCTCAGGATCCAAAGCCAGCTTGGACAAGAAAGTCCCTGACTTAATTCCAATTAACTACCAAAAAGCCGAAAATTGAGCTGTGCCTTGAGCACAAAAGCTCAGGGACAGCACTTAGGCCCTGCATTCAAGTGTTCCCAGGGCTGGCGCACATGCACACACACACATGAGTGAAAGAACTGGGAGTATATGGCTCAAATGGTAGAGTACTTTACCTATCATTCATGTGGCCCAGGTTCAATTCCCAGGATGGCAAAAAAAGAAGTAAAAGATTTATCAGTGGAGAGATGCTACAAACTCAGAGGCCAAGACATTGAATCATTTTCTGAGCACTAATTGCCAAGAAACAAAACAGGAGTAGAGTAGTGTTGCAAAAAGTGAGATTGAACCATGGTTTCCCTTATTTGCAATATCTAGTATATCTATGAGTCAAGCGGAAAAGGTCAGATAATGTGATGTCAGGAAAATGAACCCTCAGATATGTATTTTAATGTTTTTTTCTTTCATGCATGTGTTTCTAATGTATTTATAAGATTATCTCTGTTGCTTTGTATGTCCCTCCCCCACAGTATAACCCCTGCTTTCACTATATTTGATGTCAGCATAACTTGAGGAGATGGGGAAAAACCAGTTGTTTAAAGATACAGGTGGACCTGTTGCAACAATGTACAAGTTGTCATGTCCAAAACGAGCTTTACAACGTCGGGGGGGGGGGGGGGGGAAGGGGCGGAAGGAGAAGGATTGGGATTGGGGGGGAGGGGGGAGGCTGGGAAGGGATGTGAAGGGTAAACCAAAGGAGGAGGCTGCAATGCTTGGTAAGAAATGTACGCATTATATCCTGCCCATGTAATTGTAACCCCTCTGTACAGTATCTTCACAAAAAAAATAAAAAAATAAAAATTAAAAAAAAAAGTGAGATTGAAGCCAGTGCTGGCAGATCATGCTTGTTATCCTAGCTACTCAGGAGGCTGAGATCTGAGGATTGCAGTTCAGAGGCAGCCCAGGCAGGAAAGTTTGTGAGACTCTTCTCTCCAACTAACCACCAGAAAACCAGAAGTGGAGCTGTGGCTCAAAGTGGTAGAACTCTTACCTTGAGCACAAAAGCTCAGGTACAGTGCCCAGGCCTTGAGTTCAAGCCCTACTACTGAAAAAAAAAAAAAAAAAAAAAAGTGAAACAAGAACTATTGGCCTGCTTACTTGTGGCTGATGCTATACCACTTAAGCCACATCTCTAGCTCAGCTTTTTGCTAGTTAATGGAAAATGGAGTCTTGTAGGCTTTTCTTCACTGGCTTCAAACCAAGATCTAGGTCTCAGCCTCCTAAATAGCTAGAATTACAGGTGTGAGCTACCAGTTCTGGGCAGTAATTGAGATCTTAAAGGTGGGTAGGAATTTGAGAGGACTGTACTGTACATAATTGCAACAAGTACCCGAATATCTGTTTTTAACAGAGGAGGGGAAGCACCATGACACAAAACCTGTTCTACCAGGCCTGGTAGTATGAGGTGTGGGAGGGAGAAGGGTCACTGCCTGAGGACCATAGTATTATCAGATGCTACAAAGTCACAACCTGACAGATTGTGATTTTCATAAAGTAATACCCAGTTTGCTTAAGCTATGATGTCCTCATTCTGGTGACAGGAATAAAAAACTAGTTCTCTGTTACATAAAATAGTCTGTGAAACTCAGCCACATGTTTGAAAGGGACCATTTAAAGTGAACACCCATTATTTTATGTTTGTGCCGTGGCAGAATTCAGACCTAGGGAATTTACAACTGGAATTTGTGTAAAAAAAAAAAAAAGACTTGATAATTGCCTTTTTCTTTTAGATACTATGCAAGCCTACTAGGACACATCAGCAGGCCTACTAGGACACATCACAGCCTGCATTTAGCCAGTCACAATTTTTTAAAGTATGGAGTATTTAAGGTAGAGACAAAATCCCTGATCATTACACTGAGTTGAAATAGAAGTCTAATGATGTTTTTTGGCTCTTTGTGACATTGGGCAGAGCAGCAAACTAAAAACTCCTCTATACTTAGCCTCCTTATCTGTACAATGGAGATTAAAAATACATTAGTTCTACCTACTTCAAAGTAGCTGTTAGATTCAAATGAGGATTTGAAAACCCTAAATGTTGACTTCCTATGTTTTATCCTATTAAGTAATACAACTTGGCTGAAGCTAAGGAGATTGTTTAGAAAAAATGTTTTGCTGATACTAGAGTACATTTAAAATTAAGGGAAACCTGTTGAGTGGATATATAATCTATTTCCAAAAGCAACTTTCCTATTGAAAGACAATACTAGTGATGGTATCACTGAGGTAGTGACTGAGTAGCACCTGCTCTCCAGTTCTGTAAGTGAGACTGATGTTCTTTGGTTAAAAATCTTGCTCCTTCAGGTGACACCTGATACAGTTTCTTCAGTCCTCCTATCATGTTCCCTTTCCTTTTCAGCCTGCAGTCATTTGTTTCTTGTCTAAGTTTTCAATAATCACTTGAGATTTACATGAAGTTTAATGAACAGTCTTTTCTAGCAGCATTTAATACATCACTTAAAACAACCAAGTCTTAACTGAGAAATACAGGGTACCTCATTTTCATAGTATTTTTTTAAGTCCCAGTGATAAAAGACTTTAATAAGACTGCTTCCTCAAAGGAAGTTGAAACATTGATGAGTCCAGTGCAGCCAGTGTATAGAATCTGAGGTGATAAAATCTTTATCATCTCCAGTTTGATTGTCCTGTAACTTAGTTTGAGGCTCTTGGAATGGTTACTCCTTTTTGTTAGCTGTACCACTGTTATGCAGCCATGGGAGGAAAAAGTTGAACATCGAAATCATCAACAGTATACCTGAAAGATAAAAAACAGTAAAATGAAAACCATCTTAAGAAAAGTTATAATCACTAAAGTAAGAGTAGTATTTTTTTTGGGGGGGGGGGTCCGGTCGTGGGGCCTGAACTCTGGGCTTGGGTGCTGTCCCTCAGCTCTTTAGCTCAAGACTAGCGCTCTACCACTTGAGCCACAGCGCCACTTCTGGCTTTTTTCTTATGTGGTGCTGAGGAATCGAACCCAGGGCCTCAGGCATGCACGGCAAGCGCTCTACCACTGAGCCAACTTCCCAGCCCCAAGTAAGAGTAGTATTAAGACTACAATAAATCAAGATCACTGGGCTGGGAATGTGGCTCAGTGGTAGAGTGCTTGTCTAGCATGTGTGGAAGTCCTGGGTTCAATTCCTCAGTGCCATATAAACAGAAAAGACTGGAAGTGGCATTGGCTCAAGTGGTAGAGTGCTAGCCTTGACCAAAAGAAGCTCGGGGACAGTGCCCAGGCCCTGAGTTCAAGCCCCAGAATTAGCCAAACAATATTATTATTATTACTGTTCTCACATTTTTATTCAACCATGAATTCTTAAAAACAGTATGTACTTGGTAAAGCCAGTAAGACCTGAATAATGAATTCAAAGGATCAAAAGATTAATGGCTTTAATGACTGACTCTGACTGACTTGTTGAACAAGACTGGACTTGGGTCTTAATGCTCTTCATTAACATGGTGACACCCTCTGTATATGGTGAAGGGACCTTTGCTTTTTTGTTTTTATTTTTGAGGTGCTAGGAGTCTAATACAATACCTTGTACCTGGTTAGTCTTTCACTAGTGGATGAAGCAATTCTTTTTTTGGGGGGGAAGGAGGCCCGTTCATGGGGCCTGAACTCTGTCTGGGCCTGGGCACTGTCCCTCAGCTCTTAAGCTCAAGGCTAGCGCTCTACCACTTGAGCCATAGCACCACTTCCAGCTTTTTTTTTTTTTTTTTTTGCTTATGTGGTGCTAAGGAATTGAATCCAGGGTCTCATGCATGCAAGGCAAGCGCTCTACCACTGAGCCACCTTCCCAGCACCTGAAGCAATTCTTTTACATCATGGGCCCATTCAGATTGTTCTGGGAACACAATAAATATTGTAAATCTTAATAATTGTTGGTTTCAAGTAAGACAGTGGTGGTAATTTTCATTGTAAAGTTTGCTATAGTTTTTGGCCAGTAGATCTTCCCAGCCTTTTAAACAGCTTCCTTTAACTTAAAATTCAAAAGTAGAGGACATTTTTCTATAAAGACATTCTTGCAAGACATTTGGAGTCTGTAAGATTGCGGTGTGTGTGGGGGGACAGCCCAGATTGGGGCTAGGAGGGTGGCTCAGTGGTAGAGTGCTTGCCTTGCATGCATGAGGCCCTGGATAAGCAGACAAAGCTGGAAATGGTGCTGTGGCTCAAGTGGCAGAGTGCTAGCCTTGAGCTGAAGAGCTGAGGGACAGTGCCTAGGCCCAGAGTTCAGGCCTTATGACCAGCAAAAACAAAAAATGAAAACTATTATTAGCCTTTTAAATTATAGGTTTTTCTGATATCCTTTATTATTGAGCATAATTGATAGTGCAATAGTGGGAAAGAAGATGACTGAAAGGAATAAAATGTGGTGGCAAGTCAGTCGTGGTGCCGGTGTTCTTTCTATACAAAGTAAGCAATAACTAGTTAACAGAAACTGCTAACTATACAGAAGGGCGGTGAAATAACAGGATCAGGCACTCTCTTGTTCCAGATAGGAGTTAGACTACTAATGTGATTATAGCTAATGTATGACTTTTTGTTGTTACTTGACCACTCTTTCTAGAGGGATTATATTGATAGTTTTTTTAGTGGTACTGGATATTAAACCAGGGCTTTAGGCATACTAGACAAGATTTTTACCACTAAACCATGTCTCAGCTCTTGTAGAAGAGTTATGTATCTGATCTTTAGCAAAAACATACATATTTTAACTGAGGATGAACACAGGACCTCCTCTCCCTTTACTGAACAAACACTATACTCCAAGTACGGATAAAAGTAGATTTAAAGAATACTACACAAATGACCTTTTCCTTCTTTTTTGTGCCTATTCTAGCTATGGAAATTGTCATGTTACAGTAACAGTCCATTTCCTATTTTAAAATAATACACTCAGCTGGGTACCGGTGGCTCACGCCTGTAATCCTAGCTACTAAGGAGGCTGAGATCTGAGGATCACAGTTCAAAGCCAGCCCAGGCAGGAAAGACTCTTATCTCGAATAAACCACTAGAAAACTGGAAGTGGTGCTGTGGCTCAAGCGGTAGAGCGCTCACCTTGACCTGAAGAGTACAGGGTTAGCACCCAAGCCCAGAGTTCAAACCCCACAACCGACAAAAAAATAAATAAAAAATAAAATAATACTCTTTCAGTATTGAAATTAATTGAATTAAAAATATGCTTACCTAAAGAAGGAGCCAGGCAATATACTACAAAAAATTGATGGAAAGCTTCATCAAAACACATGAAATGAAGGGAAAGTGCCAAAGCTGGATTATATAGAGCTCCAGTTAAACTTCCTCCTGCAACACATTTTAAACAGAGTAATTCCAAATAATTCATCTTACATTTCCTTGTAACCAGAAATGAATAGGTTATTAAGTACAACTTTTATTTGAAATATTGAGGTATTCTTATTCTGTAATCTTCCTTTGGGGGGTCACCTGACAGTATTGAAAACAAAAAGTAAATGAGACTATCCAAGGCATTATCCTCGTTCCATGTTAACTTGTTGGCAGAGTCCTTAAGAAATTACTGTGAATGGTAGATCTCTATGACGTGATTATGTGTTTCCTCTAAAATCAGGGATGAGACAAGATGTCCACACTCTCCAATTATTCAATATAATACATGAATTTTAACCAGAGCAATAAGACAAAATAAAGGTTACAAATAGAGAAAAGTCCAATTCCTGCTTGAAGACAATATAATCTAATATTTAAAAGACCCTAAAGAAATCACACACACACATACACACCCCTCTCTTAGATCTGACAAACATTTCCAACACAGTAACAGAATAGAAGATCAGTGTTGAAAAATCAACTTAAAAAAAAAATTCAACTTAACCAGGCGCTGGTGGCTCACGCCTGTAATCCTAGCTACTCAGGAGGCTGAGATCTAGGATCACAGTTCAAAGCCAGCCTGGCCAAAAGTCTATGAGACTCTTATCTCCAATAAACCACCAGAAAACTGGAAGTGGCACTATGGCTCAAGTGGTAGAGCGCTCACCTTGAACTGAAGAGCTGAGGGACAGAGCCCAGGCTCAGAGTTCAAGCCCCATGACCCACAAATAAATAAATAAAAATCTGTTTCTTGCTATGTAGGCTGCTGCTTTAGCCATTGCTACAGCTCTTTTTGCACTGGGTTTTCTTTTTTTTTGAGGGGGGGTGGGCATTGCTGGCACACAACCATTTGAGCCACACCTGTAGTCTACCACACCTGCAGTCCAGCTTTTTTTTTTCGGGGAGGGGGGGAGGTCCCGTCGTGGGGCCTGAACTCTGGGCTTGGGCGCTGTCCCTCAGCTCTTCAGCTCAAGGCTAGCGTTCTACCACTTGAGCCATAGCACCACTTCCGGCTTTTTTCTTTTTGCTTATGTGGTGCTGAGGAATTGAACCCAGGGCCTCATGCATGCAAGGCAAGCACTCTACCACTGAGCCACCTTCCTAGCCCCCAGTCCAGCTTTTTTGCTGGTTAATTGGAGATTGAGTCTTGAGGACTTTTGTACCTGAACTGGCTTCCAATCATGATCTTCAGATATCAGCCCTTAATAGCTAGAATTACAGTCATGAGCTACTAGTGTTCTACGTATTCTGGTTATTTGTTTTAGATAGGATCTCACTTTTTCCCAGGCCAACATGCACATTGAACTTCCTAATCCCCTATTTTCTATAGCTGGAAAGGCAGGTGTGTATTTCTGTTGATATGGGGTCTTGAAACTAATTTCCCAGGCCAACCTGGAACCTTGATCTTCCCAATCTCAGACTCCCAGGTATCTAGGTTGACAAATATAAGCCACTTCAGTCAGCTAAAAATCAGTAGCTTTTGTAAACATCAATAATAATCTAAGAAAGAAGAAATGAGGAATACTGATTACATACCTTGAAAAAATTTTTTAACCTGGGCATAAGCCTTATAAGAACATTCTCAACTCTAAAAACAAGAAATCAAAGATGACACACTAAGACCCAGTGTTGGTTGCTCATGCCTACAATCCTAGTTACTCACTATCTGAGGATTGAGGTTCAGAGCCAGCCTGGGCTAACAAATGACAAATGGAGAGACTTATCTCTAATTACCTAGCAACAAAACAATGAAGAGAAGGGGGAGAGAATGCAATCAAAATTCAATGCATATCATGCAAAATTAAGAAAATATAGCTGGGTGCTTGTGGCTCACGCCTGTAATCCTAGCTACTCAGGAGGCTGAGATCTGAGGATCATGGTTTGAAGCCCACCCAACCAAAAAAAAAAAATTAGCACTGGAATTTTGATGGAGATTGAAAAGAATCTGTGTAATCATTTCCACAATATTGACCTTTTCAATCCATGAATATGGGAGGTCCTTCCATATGTTTTATATGTTTTAAAGAATTAAATTCCTTCTGTTTTGTTTTATGCTAGGGCTGGGGTAGAGTTCAGGACCTCTTACTCTGTTTGCTTACAGCTGGTGCATTACCACTTGAGCCATATTTTTACTCACAGCATTTTAGTAAAAGGCAAAAGATTTATATGATCTGAAGAGAAAACAGAGTATATCACAGCTTTTTAAAAAATTATTTTTTATTATCTTTAAGTAGTTGTACAAAGGAGTTGCCATTCAGCAAAGCAGTTTATGGACACAATGTATCTTGATCAATGTCACCCCTGTCATTATTATTCTCTCCCATTTCTCCAATCCCATCTCTTACCTCAGTTTTTTTTTTTCAGTCATGGGGCTTGAACTAGAGGCCTGGGCACTGTCCCCGAGCTCTTCTGCTCAAAGCTAGTACTCTACCACTTGAGCTACAGCACCACTTCCAGTTTTTCTGGTGGTTAATTGGAGATAAAAAGGCTCACGGACTTTCCTGCCCAGGCTGGTTTTGAACTGCATTCCTTACATCTCAGCCTCCTGAGTAGGATTACAGATATGAGCCACCAGCACCTGGCCAGTGCTAATTTTTTGTGTCTGTGCCAGTACTGGGCATTGTACTCAGGCTCTTGTGTTTTTGCTTGGCTTTTTCACCCAAGGCTGGTCCTCTATTCCTAAGCCACAACTCCACTTTTGGTTGTTTGCTGGTTAACTGGAGATAAGAATCTCATAGACTTTTCTGCATACACTGGCTCTGAACTGTGATCCTCAGATCTCAGCCTCCTGAGTAGCAAGGATTATAGTCATGAGCCACTGACACCCACTCCAGTGCTATTTTTTAACAGAAATTGAAAACTTAATCCTAAAATTCATATGGAGTACAAAAGACTCAAGAGTAACCAAAGCAATCCTAAACAAAATGAGCAATGTGGGAAGTATCACAAATACCAAAATTAATAATAATTAGTTTTCAGAATACACTCTTTAGGTAACCCTATGACATTTCTAGTAGTTTTTCCAACAAGAACTTCCAACTTCTTCCAAGGTTCAGTGCATACATGTGTTTTCACTCACTACCAAGGTAGATCCTAAAATCTTCAAAAGTTTTTTTTTTTTTTTGTCCGTCATGGGGCTTGAACTCTGGGCCTGGGCGCTGTCCCTCAGCTCTTCAGCTCAAGGCGAGCGCTCTACCATTTGAGCTACAGCGCCACTTCCGGTTTTCTGGTGGTTTATTGGAGATAGGAGTCTCATGGTCTCTCCTGCCCAGGCTGGCTTTGAACCGCTATCCTCAGATCTCAGCCTCCTGAGTAGCTAGGAGTACAGGCGTGAGCCACCAGTGCCCAGCTTTTCAAAAGTTTTATAAGGACATACTACTACAGCAAGTTAGTTGTTTTAACAATATACAGTAAAGTGAAACTAAGTCCTAAACTTTTACTGATGAGATTTCCCACTGGACAGACTTAAGAATAATGAAGCTGGATTGAGTGATGGTGTTACACACTAAGCTAAACAGAATCAGTGGAATTGTTTGAGTGGCTGCTGGTCATTTAGATCCAATTCCAACAATATTCAGTTCCTATATACTAGACACCATGGGCAGGAAGACTCACAGATCTTTATAATATGTCATCTATTTTTTTTAAAGCATTTACCAATAGAAATGGACTGAGCCCGCACTCAATACTATAGACTTGGCTATACGAAGACATTCTTTTGTATGGCATCAGTCTCAATTCCATCTGTCAGTTCCTTTATCTTCTAATCCCCATAGCAGTTCTTACTGAGACTTGGAGGGAACTACTACCAAAGATAAAGAGTTGAGCAGGGCACCAGTGGCTCCTGCCTATAATCCTCCATACTCCAGAGGCTGAGATCTGAGGATTGTGGTTCAAAGCCTGCCTAGCAGGAAAGTCCATGAGACTCCTTCAAACCACCAAGAAGCCAGAAATGGAGCTATGGCTCAAGTGATAAAAAATGCTAGTCTTGAGCAATAAAGCTCATGGGCAGCACCTAGGCCCTGAATTCAAGCCCCAGCACCGGCACAACAAAGAAGTATGGAGTTTATTCTCCATCTCTTGAGTAGGGATTGACTTTGCAGTGTGTGTGTGGGCAAAATTCAGAAGTAACACTGCAATCTAAAAAACAAGAATGACACTTAACTCTAACCAATGAGCCCATCAACGTGAACTATTTTTGCTGTCTTAGAACAGTACCCTAATCATAGAAGTAAGCTGGCCTAGGCTGTTGGAGGAACAGAGGCCACAGAGAACCTAGACATCCCAAGGACAAGTGGCACCAAATGCCAGACATGAGGCAAGGCTCAAGTTGCACAGCACTAGCCCAGCAAGCAAGAAGCCCATCCCTAGTACTTGAGGGAGAAGGATCCAGGATAAACAAGATGCTATTGCTTGACATTTTAAGGGACATAACAGTGCATATTGAAGAAGAGGTGACGTATCACTGGGGAGATCTGGTTGGCTGATCTTGAGGACAGCATGATCTTAATGGAATGACCACAATTCTGTGCACTAACATTTCTCAGTAGTCCTACAGGCAGTCAAATTCTCTTGACAGTAGGACATTAGTTAAAATCACTTGAGGCTCTGCAGGCAGCAGGTCCGTTTATTAACTTAGTTTCCTACCTGGAATCAGTGTCTATCTGTCTTCTCTCTTTGGGTTTCCTGGTAAGAGCCCCCTGGAAAGCCAACTACCCATCAGCAGTTACCCAGTAAGGATGTAATCAAAGCAAACATGATGAGACATGAAGCTGTTGAAGCATCATTGTCCAGAACTAACACCTTTAATGACAAGCTGTTTGCCCTACGTTGCACCTTTCCCTCCATCTCCAAACACCACTTTTCATTGCTGACTGGCTAATTTACCAAGGAAGCTAGCTAGCTGTTTTTAGGCTCCAATTCTTCTTACAGACCTGAAAGACTGACATTAGACTATTCTCCAGGTTATGGGGAATACCTAGGAGTTTATATTAAAAAAAACACAAAATTTATTTGTGGATACATTTATTTCTATATAGAAATTACTAACTTAATTTTCCTGAACTTAATCTCAAAAAAAGTTGTGAACAAAATTGTCAACTGTGTAAAAAGGATCAAGTTATACTGGAGGCCTATGGGAAATTAGTAGTGAAAGAACATTTCCCCAGCAATTTTTACATACCAGGAACTATGCTAAGAACTTGAAATACTATTCCTCAAGTTCTTATCATATAGTATTATTCTCCCTTTTAAAGATGAAGAAATTGAAACCCAAATTAAGTATCTAGCCTAACAGCACTGCCTAGCTTCAAACCTGGCCTCTTCCTCATATACTGGGATACTGCAAACAAAAGTTTGCATCCTTTTGTAGCTGAGTTTGATTTGTATTGGTAATAGCCTTAACAGGACACACAGAAAGGACTTAGTTCCTTTCTCTATTGACAGATAATCTTAACTACATTGCTTAGAATACTAAATAGTCCTGAATGGAGTAATGAAGTAAAAATACTATAGTTTTAAGGCAATTTCTTAGACTTTTGTTGGAAGCCTTTGGGCATAAAATATGGATTACTGAGACATATTTCACTGTTCTGTGCAGTTTCTTTTAGGTGAACAAATTTCTGCTCTCACTTATTTGAAAAATTCTTACCCTTTATACCGAGTGACATACGCTAAATCTTGGTTTTACATTGTGGTGAATTAGCTGGGTGGTGGTGGCTCACGTCTGTAATTCTAGCTACTTGGGAGGCTGAGATATGAGGATCAAAGTTCAAAGCCAACGGAGCCAGGAAAGTATGTGAAATTCTTATCTCTAGTTAACCATCAAAGAGCCAGAAGTAGAGCTGTGGCTCAAGTAGTAGCCTGGAGCAAAAAATCTCAGGGACAACACCTAGGCCCCTGAGTTCAAGCCTCAAGACTGGCACACACACACAAAATGTTATGATGAATTCAACAAACTTGGTCTCTCTGTTCAAAGTTTATTATAGAGGAACAGACATTATATAAAAAGAACAGTCTTGCTGGGGGCTGGTGGCTCACGCCTGTAATCCTAGCTACTCAGGAGGCTGAGATCTGAGGATAGCGGTTCAAAGCCAGCCCGGGCAGGAGAGACCATGAGACTCCTATCTCCAATAAACCACCAGAAAACTGGAAGTGGCGCTGTAGCTCAAGTGGTAGAGCGCTCGCCTTG